GAAAAGAAGTATGCGTTTTGTTCAATAATAAATATCCTGAAATGAACATATCTCAATCAACAGTAAGTAGAATAGAAATTAAATTCCGAGAAACCGGTTCTGTTGATAATTTGTCAAAAAGCGGACGTCCTTCTGTCAGTGAGGAAGCCAAAACGAACATTTTTTATCTTTAAGAAAATCCACATAATAGTGTCCGTCAGGTTGGTCGAGAATATAATGTTTCGAAAAGTGTTCACAGCTTGCTAAGACTGGAGAGGTGGCACCCATACAAAATGAAGTTAGTACAGGAGTTATCCGAAGATGATCCAGATCGTAGAATGCAGTTTTGCCAAATATTATGGATAGGTGCAATAATGATCCATTATTCGTGAAACGTATAATCTTCTCAGATGAATCTACATTTACTTTAAACGGAGAAGTCAATCGCCAAAACAGTACGATATTGGTCCAACGAAAACCCTAGGTGGAGAGAGAAAGCCACACCCAATATCCTCAGAAAATCAACGTTTAGGGCGGGTCATTAGCCATAGATCGAATCGTATTATTGGGCCTTATTTTTTGACGACACTCTAACTGGGACTCAGGTATCTTCAATTTCTGCAGACTTATGTTATACACACTAAGGGATTATTTCCAAATAGAAAATAATCCTGAAATGTCACACGAAAATTTGTGGTATCAACAAGATGGCGCACCGCCACATTATGCAGTTTATGTGAGACGTTTCCTAGATCAAGTTTTTCAGGGAAGTGGATTGTAAGGCGAGGAAGTATCGAATGGCCGCCAAGGTCACCTGACCTCACACCCCCTTGATTTTTCCTCTGGGGTCACCTGAAGAACGTCGTATTCAAAACTAAACCTGATAATCTCAGAAGAACTAAAAACAGGATTCAGAAGAGAACATTCTCGAGAAACTATAAGCAGGAGTTCAAGAGGAATTCATTAACCGCTTAGGTTTCTGTCAAGCTCAAGAGGGATTTCAATTCGAACACTTTATTAAAACCATAAGTTATAACCTTATCACTGATTTCTTAGCACTGTCATTAAAATAAATCATAATTGCTGAGCGTTGCAATAGCCTAAAAAAAACCGGAAATTTTTTGTAAACAAACGGTTCAAGATAGACCTATTAACCCGCTATATCGTTGAATCTCGTCTCGATGAGCTCTATCGATATTCATTAAAATATAAAAGGGCATTCCATTTCAAAAATTGAAGTGTCACGTGATATCTTTTTTTTGGGCCACCCTGTATAACAACAAATTAGTTTAAAAGTAGCCCCTCTAAAAATTAAGATTGACGTGTCCGAGCGTTTTTCCAAAAAAAAAACGGTTGAATTTTAAATGAATTTATCCGTTACTTTACGGACACACTGTATAGATATTGGGCGCCAGGCATGTACAGAGAAAGAAAACACAGTTGTATAATACTTAAAACTAATGACTATATTTATTCGTGATGAATTCTGATGGTAAATAGCATTGTACAATTTTAATAATTATTATAGTGGTTACTTGTTGAGTAAAACTATATATGTAAGAAAATATAGGAAAAGTAGCATTACTTTATTTAAATTGTTAAATTTATACGGTGTTAAATCAGATGTGTTGCAACCTGTAGAGTAAGGCGGGGCAAAAGTCTGATGTTAGTTTTCGATAAGTGTAAACTTTTAAAGATATCAATTCAAATTTTCACAAATTTATATATGACTTTCTTAAACCTTCCTCTTTACAAGTTTTACAAGAAAAACGGCAGAATAATTAATCACATTTATTTATTTGAAAAAAAATTTAGTGTTGAAAAATGGGACTTTTACCCCATAAATGGGGCAAAAATCCTAGAAAAGAGGGGCAAAAGTCTCCTTAAGTAAAAATATAATCATTTAGTGCCACACCCTGAACAAAATGTGTCTGATTCGTTATTGACGTCTTCCAGCAAAGATACCTTCTTTTTTTCTTTTTTATTTTTCTCTTCTTCAGAGTCTTGAAGCACTTTTCTTTTTGTCTTCGTTTGCTCTCCTTCTAATTTTCTCTGACGTTCCTCTTCCAGACTTTTTTATTCTAGTAGATGTTAATATCTTAGATTTGTGACTCTGGACCTTTCAGAATGACGATATTCTTGTATTTTTGGATAAGGAACTATGTCGGCTTGAGTTGACTGAGGGATGAATGGACATCACTATTTGTTTGTTTATTTTGAACATATAAACCCGATGTTGATGGTTGTGATGAAAGATTCTCAGTTAGAGTAGGAAACGTGTGCAATTGGGTTTATGGCATGTTGTGGTTGATCGGTTACGCTACTTGGAAGAAAGTCTTCTTCTCCAAACCTATGTTTGTCGATAGGCCATATTCCACAAGTTTCAAACCCTTTGACGGCTCTTCCAATAGACGCAGTTTTTCATACGCTTTTGCAAAAGTCCCGCCACTTGATATTGTGTGATTATTCTGCCAGGAATGTGTGCTCATCCATTGTTCACAATAATTACCGTAATAGTCCTTTAAAACCTTGAAAACTGTGTCGATCCAGGGGCTGCATTTTATGACTGGAATGTGGGGGTAAGCTTAAAGATGTATATAATTATTTTTTGCATAGGTTACAAATGTACTCCAAAAGAAATATGCGACGAATGGTTATCTAATATTAATAGAACCTGATTTTCGGCAGACGTTCTGACATGTTTCTTGAAGTGTTTTAGCCATTGACAAACAATTCTGAAGTTTATATCCTGACTCAGAGACGAACATTGTAGCTTCCTGGAATGCATCCATCCATAAGCTCAGCTTTAGGACGCTTTCGAGGAAAATTAGTGCTGGTGGAACGTAATTTCCACTGGCTCATGCAACAAATTGCCGTCACAGTTTGACCTCTTTCTGCCGACGAAACTTTAGAAACGCATCGTTTTCCTCTAGGTGTCAATATCTTAGGAGTTTTGTTAGGCACGGTCGTGATTCCTACCTCATCGATATTAAAACACAACTTGCGGTAAAATTTATTTTTTTAGTTATTTCTTCTAATTTTGAAAAAAATAGATCGACTTGAGCTTTATTGAAACCCATTATATGCCCCACACTAAATCTTTTGGGGAATTCTGAGTGAAAACTTGTATCTTTTGGCGAACGATAGCGCCCAATCGCTTCTGCAGTTTTCGTTTCCTTATTAAATTTGTGTTGGATCCTATTCTGTATCAGCAAAAAAATCATACTACAAGACTTCTAAGCCTTAAATACGTCAATCCATAAAATCTCGCATCAATTTGACGGCAATGTTCAGCTAAGGTATTTTCTTGTTCTGGCGTGAAAGTCGATTTGAACCGACCCAAATGTTCAACTCCAAACCCTTTTCATTTTTTCCTCAAGGCCAGACTCGTCAACCCCAAAACTATCTGCAATCCTTTTCGAGATTCTACCTTGCGAACCATTCTCTTCTGAGCTTCATTAACCATGTCTTGGTTATAGGTTTCTAGTTGACTTTCTTTTATATGTCCTGAAAAGAGGGGGAGTAAAACTATTATTTATATTTAAAATGACCTAATAGTTTATACGGGCAAAGAGTCCGAGTCGGACATTTACCCCGGGGTAAAAGTCCGACTTCGGACTTTTGCCCCATATCGACTTTAGGACTTTTGCCCCAATCGACCTCAACAATACAGCACATTATTACTAGAAGAGAAATAAATCAATGCCCGCCAAATATTTATAGGTTAGGTTATGCCGTTAAGAGAGAAAATACTTATTATGCACTAATACGTTAATATCGTTCATATAGTTATTGTCGCAATCACACTTTAAAACAAAAAAAATAATAGGAGACTGTTATAATAATGTACTATAGTCATTTTTTGTTGACAAACGCTATCTATCAAATACATTAAAGATAAAGAAGGAAAAATCAAATGATGATTTCCTTAAAAGTCAAGCCGCAGCGACATCTCATCACCAATGCCCGCAATATTAGATGATAGGACTTTTGCCCCGATAGGACTTTTGCCCAGCCTTACTCTAGATTCTAGAATCTATCTCGTTATTCATCTGTCAGTATAGCGTAATAATAATGTCTATAGAAAGTAATACTATTACAATGCGTGATATTATGAAATCTAAAATCTAAATCACACTTTTACTACTGCATCGACATAAATATCCTTAATAATCTAACCACTAAATATAGTCTGTACGCTATTGTTTAAAATGTACGTTACTGTTTAAGACTGAAAACATTTTAGATGTTAAATGCAAAACTAGAACTTAAATATACACTTAGCTGTTCTTTTATGTAACCCTGCTTCAAACAGTAGCAGCGCGAGGAGGTCTAGCATCTCTGTACTGTCTGTCGGCGATCCAGGCTTAGAAATGGGGGTGAAGCAGCACGGGGCTCAAGCCACATCCACGCTGGGGCACTCTATGTGTAAGACAAATCAATCCTACTGGGGACACTTGTCCATGGGACATCCGTCCATAAGATAGTGGCACAAGAGAACACTACTAGGACCTTGAAAAATAGTCCATACCTTGAACACTTGTCCGTAAGACAATGTCCGTCCGTAAGACCCTCGAAATACTTCCGAGGGCTCAATAAATAATAAACAATCTGTTCTTTCTTCCAAATGACATTCTGGAGGACAAAAGCAAAGGGACGCCAACGTGCCAGCCAAATACAAATACAAGTTGGGACATCCGTAACTCTACCCTGTAGCTTCGAAATGGCAGCTGATTCAGATAATACAGCCAGATTTAAATGACCACCATTTCTCAACACTGGGACTAATGGCGTCTAAGAGGCCAAACGGTCCAACCAAAAGTCAAGTTAGATCACAGAGAATTGACAGAAGCGATGTTGACAGCGCGCGCTCCCACAGAGCGATACCAGGGTTGTGTCAAACAATAACAGGGTTGTGCCAAACAATAACAGGGTTGTGCCCAGACATCATATATCATAATCAAAGATATGTAACGAACTAAAAACGTTACAATCTTGTAAAGTAACAATTTTATCAGTACTTTCTTGAACTTTTTGCTGTATCATTTTTCTATTGGCCTTCATATTCAAATAATCCTTGACGCTTTCCTTCATGTTACTGTTTTCTTTGGCTAGGGTTATGTGCATGTAGAACCTACAAAATATATCTTTTATGAATAAAATACTGTTCAAGCAAGAATTCTAAAAGCATACTATATGTCAACTAATCTGTATACTTACCTTCGAAGTGACATGATTGTGCTTCATTTGAACCGATGTTACCTCGAGTGCTTTTCCATCAGACGATGCTTTGAATCTTGGCTGTACTTAAACTGCCGTTAAACGGTAGCTTACTAAAATGCCTTTAATAGGTATGACGTCGTTGATGTGACGCACTTGACGGCTTTATGAAATATAGGAATTTTATAAGGACTAACCAACGCTATCCACCCCACCAAATAACCAACTTAACCAACGCAACTAACCTCGACACTGATAAAAAATATAAAAAACAAATATAAATTAGTAAAAATCAACCAACCCCACCAAATAACCAACTAACCAATGAATTAACACCCTCCAAATAACCACGCTAACCAACCCGCCAAATAACTAAACAATCCAACCAAAAAGTGTGAAACCAATGCAATAAGATCACGCTATAAGCAAAAAAAAATATAAAAAAGTCTTGGTCGGCGTGAGATTTGAACCACAGACCATCCGCTTACGAAGCGATAGCCTCAGCCACTGACCCACGGGTGCTCTTGCAAAAAGCTTAAGGCTAGGCATTACTTTCCGCCGACATGAACGACGTCACAATATCTATTAACGGCATTTTAGTAGTCTACCGTTTAACGGCTGTTTAAGTACATCGTTGAATCTTACATGTACTGGGAAATCTTCTTTAAATGTCCAAGACTGTCGAATTTTTTTCCCACTGCCCTTAAACTTCTTTCCACCGGGATTACATGCATATAGAAGTTGATAATAAATCAAAGAGCTTTCTATTAGTCTCACAATTTTACTGCTTGCAATCGTACGGGCATCTCGTTTCCAAAATGTTGTGTACGTATTTTCACCAAGTTCTTCAATCGCTTTCTTTGCGTCAGCGAATGAGCGGTGCTTGTCAGATATAACACCCTCCGAATTTTGTACTTTTTTTATATCACTCGAAAGCATACATCGAAATAAGTATTTCAAGCCAAAAAAAAGTGTGGATGATCCATAATTTAATGAAAAAATAAACATCTAATTATTGCTACAACAGCAAAGAGTAGATAAGACAAGAGACGACAGTTCGCGCGGTACCTTTCATGTTTGAGTGGTGGGGAGAGTGACCTCGTCTCGCTTGTCCCTTTAAATTTTCGTAATTTTTTCGCGGGAAATTTGAAATAGACTATTATTAAAACTTGCCTGTATAGCTTATAAATAGTTACTGTATGGGTAAAGAAATAAATAGAAACGAAAAAAAAATGAGTTTTCTAAATATTATATAACATAAATTATAATTAGAAACATATTTGTCGGGGAATAAAGATAATAAAAGCAATATTTTGTATATCGTTGGTAAACAAGATAAAGTGACCAAGTCGATTTGTAAGAAATGTTTTATTTACGTGTATTTTTTTTGCATATGGATTTGAACAAGTGTAAAATCACAATGTGGAGTTTATGTACAAGAAAATAGAGTTGCTCAATTTTTTTTGTAAAAATATATTACAAGCTTCTAACCATGTCTTCGATCTATGGATTACATTTAGTTTATTAACATAATTATATAGTATATTTCTATAAAATACTTTTCAGGATCCTTTGGGAAAGAGTGAACTATTATGTTTGTCGAAGAATAAGACCTATTTTTGCAGTCTTTATAAGCACACACATTGCCACCATCTCGTGTTTTCCTGCTACTCGTGTCCTGTTCGGTACGGTATTCATATTTAACAATATTTACAAATTAGTACGCAACAAAAACGATACTAAAATTAAACCTTAAAAACTCTCAAAACGATAATATATCGAAAAACTCTGAAAACACACTTTAAAAAGGCAAAAATGCAAGAAAACAACTAATCAGATTTGTTTATGTTTAAGCCTGATTGGCTCAGCTGATTCGCGTCCTAAAATCATAGGTTAGATTAGATAAAATACGCCGTTGTCAGATTTTGAGATTTTATCTGTTTATCTTTGAAATCGATCAACTAAGTCATTCTATTTCTTTGATATTATCAGTGCATTGCGAAAAAAGAACCTAAACTAAAAATTTTACATTTCCGTATTAATATACGTTACTTATATCCTTCTTATATTATTAATTTATTTTCAGAAAATCTTGTTTATTTTTCAAAGAAATATACTTGGCAACAGACAAAATGGGACTTGATGGGACCTTTAAATTTTAATATATCTGCGTCTCTCTCGCGAAATTTGACTTCTTTGTTCACTGTCGTCTCTTGTCTTATCTACTCTTTGACAACAGGCTACTTTCTATGCGAAAACTCCTCCAAATTTTGTCGGCGTTGCCAGATTCATTCATTTCTTCTTGAAAGGTTCATTAAAAAAACACGTGCTGGTCGATAGAAAACTCGCGTTAAGAACAGATTATAAATTATTTTAAAATCAAGAAAAGGCGATCGCCTGAGGAACTGCTCCTACCCATAGCTGATATTTTGCCTACGAGATCTGACTATTTATAACTACAAAGTTGCACGAAAGAGTTTTGATTGCGTTGGTTTCTGGTTTCAACTTCTTTCGGGGTTAATCTGTTATTTTTTTTATATTTTAGTACGAATCTGAGTGCTTTCAATGTCTTGATTTTAAAATAATTTATAATCTGTTCTTATCATGACAGCGCTACTGTATAAGGATTTGTTCGTCCGGCGACCAGTACGTAAAATCAAGTGAAAGCAATCAGATTCGTATTAAAATAAAAAAAAACATAACAAAAGATTAACACCCTCAACGAAAAGGTTGGAACCAGCGCAATCAAAACTCTTTCCGTTTCAACTCTTTTTTTGTATCATGTAACGTACCGTATGATCGAAAAAAAAAACGGCGTCAGCCATGGCTATGGAATGAACATCGCTGCCATTTTATATGTAAAATTAAATGGGGAATGTCATCGATCGTCATTTCCAAGCCAACTGGACACCGTTTTTTTTTCGATCATACGGTATTATGTATCATACAAACAAGAGATAACTTTGGCAACAATGCTTACGCAGCTTACATTCTTAACAACATCTAGTGACAGACAGCTCCGGCGGCAAGTTTGAATCGAAAGAGTAAATCGATCAGGCAAATATTACAAAAGATATCACCAACTCTATTTTTGATTTATGACTTATTAATGCTTCTCAATGATTAATTCTGACCTTTATATTAATAAAAAATGCATATAATCGTCATATTTTACAATAACTACACGCTTATACAACTTCACCATAACCTAAAAATGCACTTTTAATTTATTTATTTTTCAATAAATTGTGGTTCATCCGCAATTTTTTTGCTTAAAATTCTTATTTAAGTGTATGCTTTTGACTGATAATATATAAATAAATGCCAAATTCGGAGGGTGTTATATCTGACAAACACCTCCAGATGTACACCTTAATTAAAATCAACTTATAGCACTTAGCAGAAATTGTTACTACAATAATAGTGCAAACGCGACGAAAAAAACATACCAAAAGGGCAACGGAAAACGGAATACAAATTGATTAACGGCATTTTAGTACGCGACCGTTCGACGGCATTTTAACCAAAGCATTAAAAAGCCGTCAAGTGCGTTATATCTATTAACGGCATTTCAGTAGGCTACCGTTTAACGGCAGTTTAAGTACAGCGAAAAAAATATGTAAACAAGTCATTTTTGATATTTTTATTTTTTTTAAATAAAATTTTGAGCTAATTTCCAAACAGAGAAATAAGAAAGAATATTTTCAATAAAATGAAATTAAATTTGTACACAATTGTTTTTCAATATTGGATTATATCTATTAATTGAATAGATCTGCATTTTTAGATAGATTTTTTCTACATATTTTAATAAGTAGTGTAATTTTGAATGGTATTTTTATTATAAATACGAACAAAAGACCACAATTTGAAAAATTTGCTTACAGTCGCCAGATTGTGTTTTCAAGTGGAAAAACTTTGTTTTAATATTAACCTTTTGATAAAAAGACGTTTGACAGAACAAAATTTGCTTCTTTTAAAATTGTTAATCCAGTATGCTTTTTCAAATTTCCTTACCGTTTTAGAGAAAATTAAAAAAAAAAACAAAGAAATGGAGAATAGTTATTATTAATTTTGATTAACGTCATATTGTTTGCTGTTATCACATTTCTGGATAACTATTATCACCCTTTCCGTAGCATTGAAATAAAATTTTGTGCTTTAACATTTTAAAACAGCAAAAAATATGACATTAATCAAAAAAAAATTATGAACGAATTTACAGTAGAAACGCTTTTTGATTTTTAGGACTTCCTAATTTTTATATATTTTTTTTAGTTTTCTCTAAAACGGTGTGGAAATTTGATAAAGAATAAACGGGATTAACCGTTTTAGATCAAGCAATTTTTTTTATGAAAAATGTTAATAAAAAAGTGCTTCCTCTTGTAAAGACAGTCCGAGAACATACTGTATATTAGATAAATAATTTGATATTGGTTCAATAAGGTTTATAGGGAAAGAAAGAATGACTGGAAAATTTGGGATAAACTGGAAGTACTTTTTTCCACAGAATATACTAACGAAAAAGAAGCCCAAGTTCCTTGTAATAAATCGGTTCCATTTTCGTAACGCCATCTCTCGACAAAGCTGACATTTACAGGTTAGCCAAATGGGTGCGGGGCCGGGGGGAATTGTAACATACAGTTTTTTATTTTAATTATTTTTATTCGCTATTTGCAATTTTATTTTTAAAACATATTATCTGAAACAATCACATAATATGTCTTAAAAATAAAATTACAAACGGAAACAAAAGGAATTAAATAATCTGAAAATCTACAAAGTTTATTGATAAAAAAGTTAGGCTATGCAAATTGATATATTAAGTATAACCTCTTTGGTATAACATTGTTAAACAAACATTAACAAATCATAACATATCAGATCATAGAACTAAAAAAAGTACTATTACATAAAAACAGGTGATACAATACTTCAAAATTAATTTTAACATAATATCAAAACCGAAAAATCGAACTGCAAACACAACCACACTTATCACAACAGAAATTAACACACACTTCCGCGGCAAATGTCCAAGAAAGACTGATCATTCTGATTGGTCCTGGTCCG